CCTGAGGGGCCCTTGGAGGTGGCCCCCGAGAGGTGGCTGAAGGGACGGCCGATGTCAAGCCGTCAGACGTCATAGGCAGCAGCATACGCGCAAGGATAAGCAAGACGGATCAGCAAATCTCCTTCCGAAGGTAAAGCTCTCTCTCTCTCTAGATCCTCGCCGAGCCCCATGGATGTGGCCACTTGCCATGTGATGCCTAGATTGCACCGGTACATGCGGTGTACACACACACACACACACACACGCACCCGCACCCGCACCCGCACACGCACACGCACCCGCACCCGCTCACGCACACACAAAAGCACCCGCACCCGTACCCACACCCGCACCCGCACCCGCACACGCACACGCACGCGCACGCGCACGCGCACGCGCACCCGCACGCTCACGCACACACTTACACACACGCACACACTTACACACACACACACACACACACACACACACACACACACACAACACGCACGCACGCACGCACGCACGCACGCACACACACACACACACACACACACCCGCCGCACACACAAACACACACACACACACACACTCACACACACACACACTCACACACGCACACGCACACGCACACGCACACGCACACACACACACACACACACGCACACACACACGCACACACGCGCGCGCGCGCACAGCACACATGATGCAAGTGTGTGTGTGTGTGCGTGTTTCGGCCCCGATGCTCCGCCGTCAGCATTTACTTCATACGGATCCTGAGGCCAATTGAAAAAAATCCCAATTCTGGCGATCCTTCTCTCGCGTGTGACATACTAACATCCAACCTGACGTGGTCTGATATCGTCCTCCTCCTCCCCCGGAGATTTGCGATGGCCTCTTGTCGCCGCTAGCGCGATCTCTATCTCGATCTCGGTCTCCACCGCCTCCTCCACCACCGCTCCCTCGGGCAGCCTGTTCAGGTGCACGGAAGGTCGCTGCGGAACATGCGAGGGCACAGCCGTCCAAGCATATCCAATTGTCTCGGCTTTCCTCTAGGGTCAAACTGCTACCAAAAAGCGTGTGCCCATCATCCGCTTCACATCACTCTAGGGCGAACACAAGTTTGCACGGCGCTCGACATTCCACCTGCGTGTGAAACGTTGTGTGGTACAAGCCGATGTCCGCGAAAACTTCGACGATCGAAATGAATGCGGGCTCGCAAGATTTGAATGTGGACGCTCGGGTCTGCCCTCTGGAGGCCAACCGAATCAGAATATTCATACGCGAGCAAGTGTCAAAGACTCGAGCTGGCAACCAGAAAGCATCACTGCGGTCACGATGCCATACAACGAAACTCAACTACGCGGCAACTGGAATGGCAAGAACTTATCTCACGGCCGATACTTCCACTCACAAGCGTGAGCCAGCAAACGAAACGACTCTCCCCTGCTGATGTCGCCCCAGGCTGCCCAGCGCTTGTCGATATACTTTGCCTTTATGAAGTCTCGCAGCTTGCTCTGGTCTCCTGCGCAAGGGGTGGGGCGCAATCCGGGGCAACGATCGGAGGGGGGGGCATCGGAGGGGACATATCGACCTGGACTCCGCGATACATCGCCGATAGATCGGCGACGGGGCCCTGATAGCAAGGCCTCCCTTATGGGGCCACGAAACGCTGTACTGGGTGGGGGGGACGCATGCGGGCGGTCGCACTGGAGCCTCCGGCGGAGCTCCCTAGCCACGAAACGCTGTACTGGGTGGGGGGGACGCATGCGGGCGGTAGCACCCGGACCTTCGGTGGGGCTCCCTATGGGGCCACGAAGCGCTGTACTGGGTGGGGGGGACGCATCCGGACGGTAGCACCCGGACCTTCGGTGGGGCGAGCCCCGAAGCGTGTGAGGGGTGTGCCGAAATGGTAGACTGATGCGGAGAGCAAAGGCAGGGATGGGAGGAGGGAGGGGGGCATCGGGAAGAAGGAGGAACGCGGGGCGTTGTCTCTTCAGAACGAGGATCCAACAGCACAAAATGGCTGCGCGCTCATGAGGCAAAACAGCCGAGGCCAAGGCCGCAAAGAAGGCCCAAGATGGCTCCAAGACCGCCCAAGAGGGCTACAAGAGGATCCCCAGTAGGGCCAAATACTTTCCCCCAACCATCCTGTGGTGTTGATCCTCGTTTTGAAAACACAACGCCCCGCGTACTCTCCTCATCCTCTCCTCGTCCCCTCCTCTAATCTTTGCATCTGCCCTCAGCACATCAACAATTTCGGCACACCCCTTACAAGTTCCCTGAACCCACGGGAAGCTCCACCGAAGGCCCCAGTGGCTGCGATCACATGCGGGACACCACCAACGTCGGCGCACCCCTCACACGCTTCGTGGCCACATTTGAAGCTCCACCGAAGGCCCCAGTGGCTGTGAACGATGCGGTTCCCCGCCAATGTCGGCGCACCCCTCAGACGTTTCATGGCCCCATCGGGAGCTCCACCTAGCCCCAGTGGCTGTGAACACATGCGGTTCCCCGCCCATGTCGGCGCACCACTCTCACGCTTCGTGGCCCCATAAGGGAGCTCCACCCAAGGCCCCAGTGGCTGTGATCACATGCGGTTCCTCGCCGATTTCGGCGCACACCTCACACGCTTCGTGGCCCCATCGCGAGCTCTACCCAAAGCCCCAGCGGCTGTGATCACATGCGCTTCGTGGCCCATGTCGGCGCGCTCCTCACACGTTTCGTGGCCCCATAAAGAGGGCTCCAACCAGAGCCCCTGTCGCTGTGATCACGTGCCGTTCTTCGTCGACTTCGGCGCAACCCCCAGACGTTCCGTGGCCCCATCGGGAACTCCACCCAAGGCCCCAATGGATGTGATCACGTGCCGTTCCCCGCCAATTTCGGCGCACACCTCAAAAGTTCCGTGACCCCATAGGAAGCTCCACCTAGGGCCCAGAAGGCAGCGTCCGCATGCAATTCCAACCCCCATCTCGGCGCACCCCTCATACGTTCCGTGGTCCCATGAAGAGCTCCACACAAAGCCCCAATGGATGTGATCACGTGCCGTTCCCCACCAATTCCAGCACACCCCTCACAAGTTCCGTGACCCCATGGGAAGGTCCACCCAGGGCCCCAAAGACAATGTCAGCATGCACTTCCACCCCCTATTCCAGCGCACCCTTCACACGTTTCGTGGCCCCCTAGGGAGCTCCACTCAAAGCCCCAATGGCTCCGTTCACATGCGGATCCACCCCACATTTCGGCGCACCCCTCACACGCTTCGTAGGCCCACTGGAAGCTCCACCGAAGGGCCCAGTGGCTGCGATCACATGCGGTTCCTCGCCCATGTCGGCGCAACCCTCACACGCTTCGTGGCCCCAGTGGAAGCTACACCGAAGGCCCCAGTGGCTGTGATCACCTGCGGTTCCCAGCCCACTTCGGCGCATCCCTCACACATTTCGTGGCCTCATAAGGAGCCCGCCCAAAGCCCCTGTCGCTGTGATCGCATGCGGTTACCCGCCCACTTCGGCGCGCCCCTCTCGTGCCCCCAGACGGAGCTCCACCCAAGGCCCCAGTGGCTGTGATCACGTGCGGTTCCCCGCCCATTTCGGCGCACCTCTCACAAGTTTCGTGGCCCCATAAGCCATAAGGAGCTCCACTCAGGGTCCCAATGGTTGTGATCACATGCGGTTCCCCTTGGCGCATCCCTCACATGTTACGTGCACCGAGTGCCTCAGTGGCAATGCTCACATGCGGCTCCCCGCCCATTTCGGCGCATCCCTCACACGCGTCGTGGCCCGATAAGGAGCTTTCACTCCGTCGTCCCACCCGCCATGTGGAACTCCCAATAGCATATGGTTGGGCACTTCGCAAGGATAATTGAGCAATCAGGGCGTCTCCACCGTTGTGAGCTTCCTTCAACTTTAGACTGCCCTAGATGCTCCCGAGATGGTTCCTAAACGGCACACGAGATGCTCAAGATGGCCAAATCGTCATCCAACGCAGCCTCAAGACAACCCAGGAGCCCCCCCGTAGACGACCCGGGACGGCCCCAAGAGAGCCCAAAGACGGCCTCCCGAGGGTTCCAAGACGACGGCCTTAGGCAGCGCCTCGACGGTCCACTGCGACAAGAGAGAGAGAGAGGGAGAGAGAGAGAGGGAGAGACCCAAGACGACCCGAGAGAGATTCAAGACGGCCACAAGGGACCCCCAAGACTACATATGAATATCAGCAAGGACGGAAGGTAAAGACGACCAAGACGAGAAGAAAGGCCCCGACACGACTCTGAAGAATGCGTCGCAATTTGATACTCCCCCCAAGCCTGGCGATACGAGGTGTCAAAAGTTACGGCCTCCCGTACGTCCTCCGAACAATCGTCATCCAGAGTGCTGGGCTGGCACCGGGGCAGGACTTGCCGCAAACAACTGGAACACTTCTGCAACGTTCATGATGTGAGTTCACCTCCACCTTGGCCACTGGGCCGTGATGCACACCTGGCATGCTGCCGTTTCCGCAGATCATTGTTATCCCGACGAATGACTGGCCTTGCAACTTCGCGGCATCGGAGAAGTATGAGTCATGCACAGTGCGTGTGGTCTGGAGACTTACACGTCCTCGAGCCGTGCCATGTTCCAATGCCAAAATGAAAGACTTTACGGCGGAGGGCGGAAATCCCCAAACAGCGAAGACACGCATGTGAGGTATGCTCTCATCAATTGTCTTACGGACCACCGCCCTGTCTCCACCCAATCCCTCTTTACGCTCATTGACACCCAGCTGTCTATAACTGCCAATTCGTAAACACCTCCACACTCATCCCATCGCTCCTCTCTCTGCTGGAGCCCTCGATCCCCTCCCTTGATGCCTCCTGCCTGCGACGCCGGACTATCTCAAGCATATACACCTCATTCTTTTCAACGCTGTCGGCCCATGCTGTTGGAAGGCGTGTGTCTACCATGACAAAATTCTGATGACAGCCTGCAATGATCCAGACAACCAAAGACATATTACAATGCTCGTCTCCTCCGTCTGGCTCTGGAAAATCTCGAGGATCCCATCGCTCAAGCCACTGCTCTGCAGCTTTCTGGTTGCCAGCTCTCTCTAAATCCTGTTTTGGGTGCAGAAACGTGAATGCAGATACTTCCATGCCGCTCCCCCGCCCCCAAAGGACCCCCCCAGGCAGAGGTCCAACAGGACACCCAATCATCGCAGATGAATGCAGAACACTGTCGCCTGAAGAGGCCTAGGGTACACAGAGGACTTAGCAAAGACATGTGCCTTGACCGAACGACAACCAATTTCATTTCGGAGCGACACTCCACACCCGCAAATACTTCCCCTGGCGAGGAATCCAACCCATTCTACTGGCATGGAAACGACCAACATGACCGCTCAATGCACAAGAGCTCGTTAGGGGGCTCCGCAATGCCCGTGATAACATCGTCACAGAACGTCTGAAGAAGCTCGGTACGCACTCACGCGACGCACATCACACGCGGGAAGTTAACTATGTGAACCCTGCCACCAAGGCCCTCGGTGGAGCTCCCTACGGGGCCACGAAGCGTGTAAGGGGTCTGCCGAAGTGAGGCGGGTAGCCATGTGAAGCCTGCCACTGGAGCCCTCGGTGGAGCTCCCTACGAGGCCACGAAGCGTGTGAGGGGTCTGCCGAAATGGACCCGGGTACGCATGCGAACCCTGTCACTGGGGCCCTCGGTGGAGCCCCCTATGAGGCCACGATGCGTGTGAGGGGTCTGCTGAAAAGGGGCGACTACCCATGTGAACCCTGCCACTGGGGCCCTCGGTGGGGCTCACTATGGGGCCACGAAGCGTGTGAAGGGTCTACTGCCATGGGGCGGGTACCCATGTGAACCGTGCCACGAAGGCCATCGGTGAAGCTCCCTAGGGGGCCACGACACGTGTGCGGGGTCAGCCGAAATGGACCCAGGTGCGCATGCGATCCTTGCCGCTGGGGCCCTCGGTGGAGCCCCCTATGAAGCCACGACGCGTGCGAGGGGTCTGCCGAAAGGGGGCGGGTACCCATTTGAACCCTGCCACTGGGGCCCTCGGTGGGGCCCCCTATGGGGCCACGAAACGTGCGAAAGGTATGCCGGAATGCGAAAAAAGCCAAAACAAATGGGAAAATGAGGCCTGCTGCACTGCTAGAGCCGTCGCCGGGGCCGTCGGTGGACCTTAAGGAGGGTACGAACCGTGTGGGGTGCGTGGCGTGACGAACATGTGATGATAATGATGATGGTCGTACAAATCAACATGATGATGTTGACGAAGAGGACGAAGAGGAGGAGGAGGAGGAGGAGGAGGAGGAGGAGGAGGAGGACGAGGAAAAGGACTCTGTCGCTCCGCCCTGGTGAGCGGTCTCCGCGTGCGCGTGCCGTGCCGGCGCTTTCGCGCGCGACGGCGGGGCAGACTCGCCGCCGGGCGCGAGGGGGCCGACGCGCCGCGCTCAGAAGCGGGGTTCCTGGCCGCCGAAAGGCCGTGCAGCCAGCGAACGCTGGGGGGGCAGGACAATTCAGTCCCCCCCAACGCGCAGAGGCAGCCGCGCAGCGCGTACGCTATCAGCCTCAGCGAGGCCGGGAGGGTAGGGAGGGGGGCCGAAACACTTCAGAGACCGCGGGGGCGGAGTCGCAGAAAAGAAATGGAGCATTCTCTCGCCCCGTCATGGCGAGCGGTCTCCGCGCGCTCGTGCCGGTGCCTCCGCGCGCGACGGCGGGGCAGACCCGCCGCCGGGCGCGAGGGGGCCGATGCGCCGCGCTCAGGAGCGGGGCCCTTGGCCGCAGGCGGCGCAACCATACCCAGGCGCGAGGCCCTTGCGAAGTGGTAAGGTTTTGGCGGGCGGCCGCGAGCTGGACTGACCAGGCTGACGACCCAGCAACCAGAAAAGAGGTAAGCAAGCGACTGCTGGCGGAGGTGAAGAAGAGTACCTGAGCCCTGGCGGCCGCAGAGAGAGAGAGAGAGAGAGAGAAAAAAAAAGAGAGACGCAAGGACAGTCGAAACAGCAGCAGCATGGAGGTAGCGTTCAGCAACTCGACGCTCGGCACCACCTACCTCACCAGAAGACGCGAGGGACGTCTGTTGTAGCAATGTAGAAGTCAATAGCACCTGAACCCCGCAGACAACCAGGGGTCAAGTTCAGTCCAGCGGGGATTTTGGCGAGCGGAATGCCCAACGCCGAAAGCAAGTGGTTTCAACGAGCGCCGCTTCCCCCGAAGGGGGCGAACGGATCGGTGGAAGCGAGATGTCCAAAAACACGTTCAAACAGGTCCACCGACCGACGATCCGAACAACTCGCGTGCTGAGCGGGGTAGGAGCAACGGGCCCTTGGTGCCGCGATGCCCTAAAAGGCGTCGCCTGTCGGCTCGAGGCGGACCAACGACAAGGAGAGATCGCACCTTCTTGCCTCCCTCAGTTCCCCCGGGCGCAGGAGCAGAACGAATTGCAGCAGCAGCAAGGCGGCCATTTCTGGCCAGCCCCAGACGAGGCAGAGGCCAACCATCGCGCGCAAGAGTGCGCGAGGCAACGGTGGACGAAGCTTGGGAGGTTCTGCAATCCCACCAGCCCTTTGGGCGTGAGTGGTTTAGAGAGCCCTCTCTGCTCTCAACCCCCCTTCTTCCCCCCCTTCGGGGAGGGGTTTACCCCTCCCCCTACCCCCTCCCCCTGGGCCTGGAGAGGTCCCTCCGCGGGTCGTCAGGGGAGTCATTTTCGACTCCTGGGAGGGCTAAAAAACGACACCCCTCACGAGGATTCTGGCCCCGACGGGGGGGCCCAGAAAAAACCCTCTCCTCTTCTGTGAAGCCAAAATCATTGATTTTACTACGGTTTTGGCCCCATTTTGGCCTTCTGAGGGGGCAGCGCTCATGAAAGCTCCCCTCTTTTTTCAACGCAGAATCATTGATTTTACGAAGGTTTTGGGCTCATTTTGCCCTTCTGAGGGGGCAGCGCTCATTCAAGCTCCCCTCTTCTTTGATCCATTCCCTCCAAGATGGCCCCAAGAAGCGCCCAGGAGCCACCAAGAGGCCCCAAGATGGCCCCAAGAGGCCCCCCGGAGGCCCCCAAGAGGCCTCCAAGAGGCCCCCAAGATGCCCCCAAGAGGTCCCCAAGAGGCCCCAAGAGGCTCCCCCGAGGCACCCAAGACGTTCCTGGAAGCCCCTGGGGCCGCCAAGAGGCCCCCAAGACGCCCCAAACGGCCTCCAAGAGGCTCCCAAGAGGCCCGAAGAGGCTCCCCCAAGGCACCCAAGACGCTCCTAGAAGCCCCTGGGGCCGCCAAGAGGCCCCCAAGACGCCCCAAAAGGGGACGAGGTGCCCGAACGCCTCACGCCACGAGGAGCCCGAACGACTCACACCAGGACGAGGGGCCCGAACGACTCACACCACGAAGAGCCCGAACGACTCACACCAGAAGGAGGGGCCCGAACGACTCACACCAGGACGAGGCGCCCGAACGACTCACACCACGAGGAGCCCGAACGACTCACACCACGACGGGAGCCCGAACGAGTCACACCAGGAGGAGGGGCCCGAACGACTCACACCAGGACGAGGGGCCCGAACAACTCACACCACGAGAAGCCCGAACGACTCACACCAGGACGAAGAGCCCGAACGACTCACACCACGAAGAGCCCGAACGACTCACACCAGGAAGAAGGGCCCGAACGACTCACACCAGGACGAGAAACCCCAAACGACTCAAACCACGAGGAGCGCTTTCTCTCCCTCCTCCTCCGCCTCGTCCTTCTCCCGCTCCCACCACAAGGAGGATGTACAAGGAGGCGGGAGGAAGGAGGAACAGGGGAGATATGCGGGGGCAGGCGGAAACACGCCTGAAAAACACGACTGTCGGCATGCTTCGCAAGAGTTGCTGTTTTGAGATGGGCTGGTGGGGATACGCGAAGCGTGAAGAATATTCCACTGTTTGGCCACGTCCCAAGCTTCTGTAAGGAACGCCTTCCAATGGGCGCGCGCTGACAAGGGCGCGTGCAAGGATGTAGCGGGGGGAAACCAGCGTCGCGCTCGAAACCAGACGGGCCGCGCCTCGAAGATGCTCCACCCACGGCCTGGAGCGATCCCGACTACGGCTGGCACCCGAAGACCGGGGAGGGTGCCTGCGAGAAATGGCCTCCGCAGACGTTTCCTGCTCGGATGCCGCATGCCGCTGGGCGGCTCGGACGATCCCGCGCAGGGACCCGCCCGAGGTCCGACCCGCCAAATAATCGCGGACCTGGGCGGGATCCTCGGAGTCGAAATCCGGGTCACAGGGATCCGCGGAGCTGCGCGGGAGGCCAAGGGTCGAGCCCGCTCGGCGCGCCCGCGCCGCGGGGGCGTCGTCGAGCGCCGCCCCGTGGACGCTGGCGCGGCAGGCTGCGGGCCGCTCTGGGGGGCACCGGCGGGCCCGCAGCTGGGCGAACCTCCAGCGCGGAACGCCTGCCGAGCGAACCCCCATGGGCGCTGCCGGTGCTGGCGCCAACGACCCCCGCCGACTCCTCGCTTGAGTCGCGGCCGCAAGGTTTCCGAGGTCTCCTGGCAAGGCTCGGGCCTCCTTCCCCGCTCGGCGCCGTCGCGGAGGGGCGGCTCGGGGGGCGGCAGGCGACGCGCTTCGCCGCGCTGCCCGTCCCGCGGGGCTCGGCGCCGACAGCAGAGCCGAACGCGCGACGGTTAGCGGCCCGCGGAGCGCGGCGGCCAGGCGGAGGCGCGGCCCCCCCCCTCAGGGGCGGGGAGAGCCGCGCGACTCGCCTGGCGCTTGGCGGCCGCGCGCTGGGTGGGGCGGGTCCCGCTGCGGTTGGCCGACCCCGGGGCGCGGCCTCCCAGGTTCGCCCTGTCCTCGACGACCTCGTCGCGGGGCCCCGGCCGCCGGCGGACGGCCGACGATCGCTGCGCGCCATGGCGCTGGCAGGATCGTCGGGCGGGCGCGCGCGGGCACGCGGGTTGGCCTGGTGCTCGGCCTCCAGCCGCGCAAGAGCGCGCCCTGTTGGCGAGGCGGGGGCGCCCTCAGCAGCCGCGCGAGCCCGACGCGACAAGCCAGCGGGATGCGCCACCTCCGCGTCGCGCAGCACCGCCCTCGGCACCCTGCGAGCGTCGCGAGCGACCTGGACG